CTTGGGGGTCTGGGGGTTCCAAAATGACAGTTTTAATCTTCTAACAGTGGCGGGTTAAATATGAAACATTAATCTAAACTGGAATAACTTTGAGTTATTTTTACTCTGAATTAGTTTCTGAAACCTGATTTAGACTCATTTCAGCCTCTCAGAGGCTCAAACATCTGAAATCTGATAAAAACATAAAATAATCTGAATTAAACACAATCAATCAAAGTAAGAAACCAGTTGGAAGTTCAGTAAAAAAAGGTGGTGAGCTGGGAGGGAGTTTTTCTGACTTAAACTGAGTTTTTTTAGTCAAAACGAGGCCGTTTTTCTGACTCAAAATGAGTTTTTCTGCGAGTTTTTGAGCCAAAATGAGGCTGTTTTTAGGAATCGAAAGCAGAGATTTTACTGTATTTTTCTGCAAGTTTGACATAGTTTCTGTGCACGTTTCCATGCACGTTTCCGTGCGCGTTTCTGTGCACGTTTCTGTGCGTAAAGTTGTTTTTTCTTTAGTTGTTTCTGGTCAGAACATAAACGCCTCAATTTTTGGGGGTTTCTGGAGTTAGAGGCTGATATCTGAACAGAAACGTTTTGGCTTAAAGAGACGATTTCTGACTCTACACCGGGGGTGTTCAACAGGAGGTCCGCGGCCCCTCGGGGGTCCTGGAGGGACTGATAGGGGTCCGGAAAGTTTTGGTTGATTAGACTTTTTTAAATGTTTTCCACTAATGTAAATGTGTTTAAATCCACATGAACATGAACTCAACAGACTGTAGTAAACAGATAAATGGAGGCAGAAGATCTATCTATCTATCTATCTATCTATCTATCTATCTATCTATCTATCTATCTATCTATCTATCTATCTATCTATCTATCTATCTATCTATCTATCTATCTATCTATCTATCTATCTATCTAATGTTTACAGTAAAAACAGGAAGATATCAACCTGTGGATTATCTGAGGATCTTAGTACTTAATGCATAATAACAAGGGACATTTACACACTGTTTTTAGGCTGTTTTGGGCTGTTTTCTGACTTTTTCTGTCGCTATGATGTTTTTCTACAGTTTTTCTGTCTCTTTCTGCTGTTTTCTGCCTTTTTCTGTATTATTGTATTGTGTATTATTCTGGATTATTTGAAGATCTTAGTACTGAATGCCCAATAACAAGGTACATTTAGACACTATAGGACCAGTTTGATAGAACACTATTTCATATAGTATATATAATTAGGGGTCCCCCTCCATCAGTTTGGGGTCCTTGGCCTGGAAAAACCTTGAAGACCCCTGTAATATAAAACTGAGCCTCAAACAGGCTGATTTGGGGTTTTAATATGAGAACTCCCCTCTGGTTTCTGCCTCCTAAAGGCAGTTGTTTCCTCCCTGGGTCGCCCAGTGCTGCTTTAGGGGAGAGAGGTGCATCATGGGAGCCCAGAGGGAGGAGAGGTGCATGATGGGATCCAGTTTTAATGTGTTTAAAGACTAATATCTTTACACAGAAAAGGAGGAAAGTTCAAAGCTTAAAACAGCAGCTCAGCCTTTGATCAGATTAAGATTTAACGCTTTAATCTTAATTTGGACGGCTGGATTAAGAATAAACTACTTTAAAAGCTTTTTTTTTTTGTGCGATTGGCATGTCGGTGCTTCATTACTGAGGCAGAGAAAACAAAGGAAATCTGGGAATTTATACACAAACAGACTTAATCCATAAACTGGAAACTCAGAAAAATATAATAAAATAATTATGGAAGAACATTTTTTTTTAAGAAAAATCCACTTTTTTGCCTTTAAGAGCAAGAAAACCACATTAAA